ACGTGTGCTCTTCCGATTTGTGATTCAATAAAAAATTATTTTCAAATCTGTTTTTAGCAAAATTTTTAGGTCTTTCAACAAAATCGTTCTTTCTGTGTACAAAATTAAGAAGTTAAGAATCATAGGGAATATTTATCGACGATTGCATCAATGTTAATTCAAGTAAAATGCGATCGTGTATCGTCGCTCTAACGTATTTCTACACCAAGCGTCGTCTTGTTCCGTTTCAGTGTGCAACATAACGCTGGACAGCAGGTTGCTGTTCAGCAAATCGGATCGTGGCTTCGGGCAAATAAAGTCGCCGTATCTTCAAGGGCCCTCGAGGTGTACATACAGATTCGTGCCGGATACTGGGCAGCGGGTCGAGCTGCAGATATATCGACTGGTGTCCATCGGCCGACACAACGGCACTGCGTAAGTAGCTTTTCGTTGACGCCTTTCTTTCCGTCCGCTCTCTCGTATCGCTTAACGGCACTCTTTTGCGGCTCCCTCCCTCCCCCGCCTGCCCCGCCTGCTCCTTTATAGCCGCGACTGTAAACTTTATATGGGAAAGTATTCCCGGCGCCTATACGGCTTTCCGCCCGACACATGGCGTCTTTAAACTTACATCACCTCTCTCACGCCGGTCTCGAGCTCGAGTAATTCTGAATACATAATAAAGCATATGGACACTAAGAAAACGGCCTAGGATCTGTTGGATATTTTATATGTTGCACCCTTCTCTCTAGTCTCGCGGTTTTTTTTTCTTTTCCTTATAGGTATACGACGCCACATACGATCGCACTTATGTGTCGAAGACGAAAGGTACAAAGAGGCTCTCTCGAAATATTTTAACGTGTTTATCGGTCAATAACTTACAAACTTTTCCGTTGCGCAAAGTAACCACCGTTCGTGAACCACCTCGTCCCCGCTCGTTTCTCGCTCGTGATGTAAGTATAGTTGAAGAGCGGACAGCGAGCACCGATATGATTGAAAATCGCTCTCCTCGATGGTCGTTTCAATTTATCATACTTCCGCTCTCTACGAGACGATAGTTCGGCTCTCAAGCCCCTCTCGACGGGTGGAAGGAGGAGCTGAGAAGTCGGGAGTAATGCCGCGGCGGAACTACGGGAACCAGGAGATGGGACCGGTGGGGGGGTTCGGGGAGAAAAATTACTGTTTTTAGAAAGCCCTCCGGCATCCCTAACCCCTCCCTGCCACACACGAGCTCGTCCACTCCGAGACCACGTTCATGGACAAACTTCGTGGCGGGCGGAAAAGGCCTTCGACAAGCCCTAGAAAAGTTCTTACAATTTTTCGACAAGGCTCTTCACCCCCCTGACCCCCTCCCCCCCATCCTCCCTCCTTCTCCCTCGCGCGTTTCCCCGGGCTCCAGTGTGTCACGACGGCGAAGTCGTGGGAGCTTACGACGCGCCGGGCATCATATACGAGCTTACTTTAGTGGCTTTTGTTCCCGTTCCCGGAATACGCAAAACGCGCGCGACCGTACATATCCACGGGTGCGGATGTACATGCTTACGGTGCACGAGTGGTGGCACGAACGAAAAGTATACGCCCGTACTCCCGTTATTGTTATATCTTCCTTGAGAGAAGATTATACGTTTCCGTTAAATTTTCACCGTCGGTCCTGCAGTCGTCGTGTGTCTCAGAAGTAACTTGTGTCCAAAAATAATTTTTGAAAATCGGTTGTTAATATACTTGTGTAAAATAATTCGACAACGTAGAACTGATGAAGACTGATGAATCTAATAATTATTTGATTCGCCGGAGTAAAAACTTTATTTCGTAATAATTTAGCGTCTTATTCCTGGTGTATTTTATAAATTAAAGGGAACGTTCAAGATTAATTTTTAACTGTATAAAGTTGTCGGTCTTTTTTAAATTTTATTTTAAAGAGTTTCGACGATTAAACGACTTGAAATGTTTAAAAATTACTCGGGTACACGTAAAGTACAAATCTGCATAATTCCTCCCACGTATTACGCTTTCAAACAATAAGATTCTGTACGATCCACGCCACACCATCCGCTAGGGGCTAAAAGCGCTGCGTTAAACGCATATAAAAAATGCAGGAGCCCACACTTTAAGTCCACTTGTTAGCGAGGAAACGGCTGGTAAGCTGCAGAGGGCGAAAAATACCGTTACTCTTGCCTGCGCGGCCCAGATCGTTTCGCGTTTCTTTCGTTTTCCCTGCACTGCAGCGCTCGTGAGAAACTGCAACGACCGGAAGAAACAGCGCCCGCCCACACACACGAGCCGTACCGCGCAAATCCTTCTACACGGAAAAATATTGGCGCTTGATCGGCTTTATCGTGGAAAATCCTGTGAAATTTTAGTATTACTTCCGAGCGGAATCCTCGAGAAATTTTGCGGGCCATTTGCGACGCTCCTTAAGAGGCGCGAGGCGAGGAATATATAGTCACGCGAGAGTCTGGAAAATGGAAGAATTGAAGACATTCAAACAATCATCTCACAGATGAGCTTCAAGTTTCATATCGCGCTGAATTGTCTTCGTGCTACTGAAAGTAAAACCGTGCGGCAGACCGACATATGAGCGATGCGCCGGATAAATATATTTGTGTGTCTAATCCATTAAAAGTGCATACTCGAGAAATATATTATGCACGTACATATGTAGGTAACTACCATGATAACATGTTTAACCGAGTATTTCGTCGCCAAATTTTGTTTGTGAAATTGTGCACACTCTTTCGCGAGAATTCAACGTTTACGAATGAGATTGAAATAGCTGGTTTTCATAGTTTACGTAACGCATGACGCTGAATTAATATCACACCGGACCGTGGCGCAGGGCGGAGTTGGTGGAAATATGACAAACGACACATGTTACATGCGCGGTCGTGTAATACGTGTGTAGTTCATGCTCGTTAAGTTATAATTAATGTAACTTTCCGTGCCCCACTATGTATAGGGACGCCGTAACAGGTTCCTTGTGTTGTTCCGTATCACGTTCATCACATCCTTCAAAGAACAAATGGCTGATTACTGATTAATAAAGAAGTATGGTGTCCCAGAGAGGGTTTAACGGATAAATTATGATAGGATATTCTGCATGGGTAAAAATGTAAAGAGAATGTTACATACGCGAATATTACATAGATTCCTAAAAGGTTTAGCAAAACGAATGTCAAGAAAATATAAAAAATATAAAAGTCTAGTAATTCAAAATCTGCGGCGACCTTGGAAATTAAGAAATTATCTCTATAATAGTCGCCGGCCAGTCAATTGTATCCTTTGACATGTTTATTAGAAAAATTAGAAATATTTCCACTAAACGTTGCTTCATTAGTTTAGAATTCTTTCTGAAAAATAATTAATCCTCTGTACCGCGGTGTACACTCCATGAAATTAATGTTCAGGTAAAGGACAAAATAAACTCGACGAACATAAAATTATACTGTACTCTATTAATAACAAGAGCAGATTTTTTTTCAAGGCACATTTTTCATTTCTTTTAGTTATAATTTTTTAATATATTCGTAACTTTTACTTATGCTTATATAACATTTTTACTTTTGTAGAACACTGGCGTATAATTTAACCATTAAAACCTGTATACATATTATTTATTACTTAAATTTATTACAGTTTCTCTTAGAAAAATAATAGATCTCCTTTTTTCGTGAATTATCCTAAAATAATTAGATTTTTTGTATTAAATTAAATATCTGTCTGCGGCAGTCATCGCAATCTACAGATATTTTATGCTTTGCATAAGTTGCTGTGCGTTTATATTGTTCCCTTCCTCTTCTCGACAAATGCTATCTCACGTACGCAAATCGTCTATCTTATTGCTGTCCCATCCAGTCGGACTTTCCGGAAGTCCTTCCCGAACACTCATAGGAGCTTGATAATAGAACGTGAATTTCGAGAAATGGGACAAAGCATGAGCCACTCGGGTGTCTCGTGTTCCGGACCGAAAACCGGAAGATGTAGGTGGCTCCTAATCCCGAATGCCGAGCCACGGTCGCCACGATACGTGCACGTTTCTCGATGAGACGCAATTGGGTCAGGTCCTCGGCTGGACATGCACTTCATTCCCGTGAACGTCCCTCGAATGACCTCGCACGGTGCGATTTCAAGTCCGATGTCGTATTAAGTGACCGCTATAGGTAGTTGGAGCTATCCGAGATATCGAGCGAAAATCGAAAGTTGGCGTCGAATAAGATTCCCTTCCCCGCAACGCTGCGCAATTGTAGCAATTGCCGGTATTCCGATCTGCCGTACAGCAGACTGGCTTGGTATTGCTTTAACCTAATCTCGCGGCAGAGAAACTTTATAATCAAAACACGGTGTGCTTAACGAATTTCGACATTTGTCAAAATTACCATATATATTTTATTTAATAAGCGGATGAATAACTTGTGCGTGTAACAAATTAATACGTAATACGCTATTATATACTTTTTTCTTTTTTGAAGCATTTTATTAATACATAGATTAACTGAAACCACCGAGAGCTGCGTGAAGCCTAGCGAATTTAATGCCGCCGGCATAATTCTCTCCAGTCCTCGAGAATTGATTTGCGCGAAAACAGCGCGCGGTATACGCTAAATCCGCAGAGATATTGCTCTGCAGGACGCACTCAAATTAACCGTGCGGAATTAATTTACGGGCTTTATTGAACGTTGTACAAATTTCATACTTTCCCACTCGTAAACTTCCGACTGCGCGTATTCTCGAAAATTAGTTCGCACAATGCACAAACCGACAATACATTCGCGCGTTGTCCGAGATCCGCGCATATTAAACGGTCCCGCCGATGTTCCAGAAATCATTCGCCCGCTGAATGCTTATGTCGTCTTTATGATTCTCCCATTTCAATAATATAAATGTACTATGCATATACATATCTGTTCACCCGTCCATAAAGTTAATTAATTCGCAATAATGAATGATGGTGAGGGGGGAGGTGGAGAGGCGAGGGTGTCCGTAAAGGAAATAATGCTGTTCGAGAGAAATTCGAGTGAATCGAATATTAATTTGCGAAATTGAATGATTGAACGATCAAATAGGGGGATGAAGGGAGAATTAATTTAGATAGACGCGGATGTATTTATTCAATCCACGGGACAGCGAAAGCCGTATATACGTATATATAGACGGTCTATAAAGTAATAAGCTGACTAATGAAGGTCCGATGTATGAAGAACTCGCGCGTTTCCGTCGAAAAAAATCCTGTTCCCGCCAATCTGATGGACGATGAAAAATATGTGAAGTTAATTAAAAAATATCTCATGAATAACGCACGAATTATCTTGCATAAAGTAACTCGTTATACGCGCTCGTCCCTCTCCCTTCCCCGCCTTCCTCCCCCCCCCCGCTCTCTCGTGAGGGACGTTAACCTGCAGAATGCTGAAAAATTACCTTCGCTGGTGCAACGACGGCGTACA